TACTCCTGTGCACATCTATCGCTAGCCGCAGAACGGGGATTCATTACCCGAAGGCGGAAGTACGTGCCACTGTAACGGTCACGGCCTTCCATATGGGCTTACGTACCTCACAAGGGCACGGCCATATCAGGACTTAAGGAGATTGCCACACAAGGGCACCGTACCGTAACTCGACGGGGACAACCGTACCGACGGCCGTAACAGCTCACATCGATAGGCTACATGTTCACATGCATACATAGATCATACCAAATTTTCAACACAATTAAAACACACATATGCATAGAAATTTTAGAATAACTCACCCACCTGGATTCCAGATTGATAATAACTCAAAGCAATGGAAGTAGGTCGAGGCTGGACTCCTCAATTACCTCATTGAGTCAAGATGCTACAATCAACATCTATCTTGACTTTAAACGGAAAACACAAAACAGACCTAGTCGAACTTGTTTCGACTAAGTAGTTCGTGAAGTTCTGTGGATGTTGGAACATTAAGACTCGGTACTAAACTCGACCAAACCACATAAGGGAGTTCACATAAATCCATCTAAGGATTGACCAAGTCAAACTCACATCAAAACGAAAAGCAAGTCGATTCCCAACTTTTCATTTCAAAATCATGTTTCGAAAATAGTAATCATTAATCACATGAAATAGATGGTCAGGCTACCCTACGACTTAAGTTCTGAAATTTTATACAAAATTACATCTCCCAGAAACATGTAACACTACAAATTTTCAGCTTCAAACTCGTTATACATAATTTTATAAAATTCAAACAAGATATCAACAAAACAGGAACATCAATTTATACTTGAACTTAATGAATGAATCAGGACTTGCAAATTTAACATAACAACATACAGCCTGCTGCAGTCCATGTATAAAAATCTCATCCCTTAACATTAACTGCTACTATTTTTAAAAATTCATACGAGATTCAGCAGTTTATCGAATTTAAATCAAAATCGAATCAAAATGGATTTCAAAATTCCCATTTTTTAACAGCATGATTCTACACATAAAATAGGCATCTTGGTAAAATTTCAAAAAAAAATTAATAAAGAACCGATTTTTAATAATTCATACAACTTTCAGCAGAAACCGAAAACAAATTATTAACCATATCAAATTCAGTTCAAAAATTCTAAAACCTGAACACATCACATATACACGTTAGAGGCACAACATATTAAAATTTCCGCTCATTTGAGTCACAAACCAATTTACTAAGCATTAAACAATATTCTGATCAGAATTCACTTTAATTTTTACAAATAGCTACAGGCCTCTAAAAATTACGAAATTTTTATGCAAGGCTGGTATTGAACAGAGAACATCACCTTAAAAATTTAAAGTCGTTTCGAGCAGCGAGCTATTTTTTAAAAATTCAAATATCAAAACAGCGACATATATGCTCGACAATTTAACAATTAATTCATAACACGAAATTTCTCGTCCGAGGCCTTCCCATAAGGCCAAGGACTCGACTTTGTTCCAATATCCACTGACTTACACGAGTTTCGAGGCCTCGTTCGATTTCTCATAATCGAGGAGATCCCGAACAACACGATTACACATAAAATCATCTCTTTCACATAAATTCATGTCGAACCCATTTTCGCACAATAATCAAATCTCGCATATCAAATAGTAAAGAGCACAACATGAAATTTAAACACGATAGGCAATCAACATATAAACGATTTAAACGAGACGGGATCGACTAAGTACCGTTCTCGGGAAAACTCAGAAAATGGAACGAAAAAGACGAACGGGGATGACGGGCTCGACGGATTCTCGCGTCTCGCCGGAAAAGAGGTCAGCGGCGGAGGAGGGGGTCGCTGCTGCTGGTCATGGCCGGAGTCGCTGCTCGTCGAGGTGCTGGACGGAGGAGGGTTGCCGGAAAACTTCACGAACAGCGATTGGGGCGAGCTGCTCACGGCGGCGGAACTCCTGGGGCGGAGTCTCGGCGGGGCAGAGCTGCTGTGGCGGCACGGAGAAGTGCTGGCTGGCCGGAAAGATCACAGGCAGAGGTGGTCTTGTCGTCGGGTGTTCGTGGTCTGCTCGAGCTCGCCGGAAAAGCGCGAACCGGGGCCGCCGAAGGTTGGTCGCGAGTTGTTGCATGCTGGTGAAGGTGACGACGTCTCACGAACAGAGTGATGAGAGGAAGATGATGATAGGAGATGACGAGTGACGATGGAAAAGCAGAAAAACGCCAAGGAACATGGTGAGGGTTCGATCTTCTCTCAATCTTGTGCGATCGGGATGAAAAGAAAACTGATGAAGGAAAAAGAAAGGCTGCGGCGTGTTTTCGTTGAGCGAGAGAGAGAAGAAAATTATATATACATAATACTAGGTTAAAAACAAATGGTCTTGGAGCCCAATAAAAATCACTACACATCACGTGCAAAAGAGAGAAAAGGAAAATCAGTCGGGCCAGGCCGAGTGACGGGTTCGGGCTGGATGATTAAATGGGCCGAAGGTTCAGTTAAGAGCGTACGGTTCTCTCGGGCTCGATTATTCTCGGTTTTTCGATCGACTTAACCAAAATAAAAATTGGCTCGTTTCGCACAATAATTTGAAATAAGATAAAACTCAGCTATTATAATAAAATATATTTCACACATTACTAATTAAATAATAATACACATTTTAGCATTTAATAGACAATTAGGCATTTAAATAAAATATTAATAACAATAATAAAAAAAATAATAATAATGACAATAATATTAATTAAAAATCCCAATTATTTCATAAACGAACGGAGCGCTACACTAACCTTGTAAAGGTAGAGTATAACAGGATACTCTTGATAGTGAGGTCATCTATATAAGTGTGAAGTGTGGGCCGCTTCAAATGTAAACACTTATGAATCCATTATATTGTCCACGGCCAAAACGGACACAACGATAGAACAGAATGGAGTTAAGGCTCTATTGTGTGAATGTCATTGTCTCGGTGTACACTATGGAGGAATAATTCAAGGCATTATATCCACTAGTCCGCCAGTGCATCCGATGATATTTACAAAGAAAGGTTCAAAGCCAAAAGCTACCTTCTCTGATACAAAAGAGTTTTGTGACGATTGAGCACAATAGTATACATATTTAATTTACACTCATGTGGGGGATTGTAATATTGTGAGTGTAAACTTATTTATTGAGTGGGTCTCACATCTCATCAATTGGACAACTTGCAAAATTTGCATGCATGGAGAAATCAAAATCGGTGGCTGAGAAATCAAGATTGGTGGCATCCAGCCTTATTCAACACCTAACACCACTTGGTAGCCCAATAATGTTGCACTTTGATAAGTATAAATATGAGTGATCAGATGGTGAAGAAAAAAAACGACAGAGAACAAAAAGAAAAGGGGAGAAAGAAAGAGATATAGAAATTATTTTGAAGGGATAAAAATATCAGAAGAAAAATTATAGAAATATTTATTTGTTATTGAAATAACAAAAAGAGTGATATTTTTATTTCTATTTTAAGTGCTCAATTCTCGACTCCGTTCCAGTTCACCGGAGCTCGTAAATCTGGTGTGCTACAGATTTAGAGACGTTTGCCGTTGTATCTTAGCTCGTAAATCTGGTGTGCTACAGATTTAGAGACGTTTGCAGTTGTATCTTTGGGGAAGTTACGCTTGAAGCGTTAGCTGCCACACGGGGCGTATTCTTCTTGCGGAAAGAGTTTTACTCGCCTCGGCTAAAATCTTTCCGTTTTGTTTTTTAAGTCTTAATTTATTTTTCAGTTGTTATTTATTTTTCAGTTCCATTGTAATTTTTTTTTTAGATTATTTGTAAGAACTGAAAAATACATATCAGTTCGTAGGATTCTCGTGTATTTTATACCCAGTTTCTAACATTTTTCAGTGGTATGAAGCTTTTGTTTTCCCTTTTTGTCGTGTCTGTTGCAAGTTCAAAGAGAAGAAGGTAACGAGATTACAGGCAGAGAGTTTTATTATTTGTTGCTGCTACTGTTTTCTATTAGTGAGTTGAATCGTTTGGATTTAATTCTAAACTCTGCTTTTTCCCAAATTTTTGCTGGCTCGCAAACATTTTTGAACTAATAAATGCCATTTATTATTATTATTATTATTATTTTTTTTTTTTTTATCTTTTGTGATGTCAATAAAGCATTTGTAAGGGGTGTTTAAGTGTGTATGGGTGCCTATTTTCCTTTTTGCTCAATAAATGTAGTACTAAATCAAAGATCTGATTTGTCTCTTTTATTCCAAATCGCTTATGGGGAGAACAATGGAAGTTTTATCATTTATGTAAAAATCTTGTTGCACAATGGTGTTGGTCCTCGTCACATATCAGGTATTAGGTGTAGATTATTATAATTTTTTTTTTGGTATAAGTATTAGGTATAGATTATTAAATGCATTTCTTGGGAGTATTTTGAGAAAAGATCAAAAAAAATGTTTATTTCTCAGAATATATTCATCCTTGTACGAACTCGATGTCAAACTTACGAAACAGTTAATCATATACATGCTATAAAATATAAATTTTCAAATATCATTGTAGTTGGTAAACTCACCCAACTCAAAGCAGTATCATCACACCATACCAAGATGCCCCACATATGTAATTATTTTAACCCCTTAGAAAAATTCCAAAATGATAACTAACATAAAATATATTTATTAAGAAACATCATAATAGTTTATATATATATATATATATATATATATTTGTTAAATTATGAACTTTCATATTGTATATATTAAATAAATACGAGTGCGTTGGTCAGAACTGCAGTGCCTCACCAACCCACCGTATGGATACAGCCAAATTACCTTTTCAATTACTTAGTTTAGTTCAACCACAATATTTGGACTTGTTTGAATTTTTTGAGTTAGTTTGGTTAATTTTGAAAAAGGTGGTATGGTTAATTGTTAGTGGGTATATTAAAATAATATTTAAAATAAAATAATTAAAATTAATTTGACGTAAAAGTATGAGAGAGATATTTGAAGTGATGGTTAGTTAAAATTATATAAGTGGATGAATAGTGAAATAAGGTTGATGTGATATGTAAAATTATTAATTGATATTATTTAATTATATGAATAATATTAATAATAGTTGAGTTGAGTTAAAATTGAGTTAAACAAATTGGTTGAGTTATAAATGTTAGGATTTTTTGGATAAATTTTTATCCAAGCATCAATCCCCAATTTGGTGTCTCCACCTTCGACCTTCGTTTGTATCGCTCTTCAAATACTAATCTCACTTCTATACTTGGCAACCTCCAGATTCAATCAGCCATGGCTTCCATTTCCAAGCTCTCAACCTCAGCTTTCACGCAGTCGGCCACCAGCTCAAGGCTAAGCAACGGATCTTCACAGCAACCCATCCGCTGTTTCGGTCCAATCAAACGAGCTGCCGCCTTTGATCATCTGCTTTTCTCTTCAAAGCTGAGTGTGCGCAGCCATCTTCCCATCAAGGCTTCTATGGTGTATGTATATCTGTTGTTTTTCACCTCATGTTTTCTCCTCCACCTTTTTGAAATGGTGGCGAATCAATTAGAGGAAATCTGGAGAAAGATTATGTTCGAGGACTCGGTCTTTCTTTTGTTGTGGTTGCTTCACAGATGGATTAAATAATTTGGGTGGTTTATTTGTAAAGTTGTTGGATGAGTGAAAGTGTATAACTGGACTGTTTCTAATTAGAAGTTGCTTATCAGTGTCAGATGCTCAATGAATGATGGAAATGGAAGAAGTGTAAAGAAAACCACTCTTCATGATCTTTATGAGAAGGAAGGGCAGAGCCCATGGTATGATAATTTATGCCGTCCGGTGACTGATCTTATTCCACTGATCGAAAGCGGAGTCAGAGGTGTAACTAGCAACCCAGCGGTAAAATTTCCTTCTTCCATAATGAAAAGATGCTGAATATACTTTCTTTAGTAGTTCTTTGCCACTTTCAACAATTTTTTAATTTGTATTGCAGATTTTCCAGAAAGCAATATCAACTTCAAGTGCTTATAATGATCAATTCAGGTAAAAACATCAGATTTGTGTTCTGAAGTGTTTTTGTTGCTCCCGAATGTCTTCGAATCATATCAACTTCAAGTATCCTGTTAGCTGATATGTGTTCTGATCTATATTTATATTTATTTGAAAGTGAACAAGGAAAAAAAAAATCTTCCAAAGGAGACTGGTTGAGTTTGGATCCATTATTAAGTATTTACGTATTTAACTGTTGCCCTCTCTTAGTTGCTGCATTGCTGCATTAGCGATATCATTGTTAATGCAAGTGAATTCTTGTAATTCTATGCGGTAATACAGTTACTAGTTCATCGTAATTTGGAGCTTGCATCTTTATATCTTTTGTTCTCGATGAAGTTATCGTCTATTTTCAGGTATTGAGAAAAAGAAAGAAGCATTGAGTCTCCTAACTACAGTTTGTTCGTATTTGTACCTGCAGAGAACTTGTTCAGTCTGGAAAGGACATAGAAAGTGCGTATTGGGAACTTGTGGTGAAAGATATCCAAGACGCATGCAAACTTTTCGAGCCTATTTATGATCAAACAGATGCAGGTGACGGATATGTCTCAGTTGAAGTTTCACCCAGACTTGCTGATGATACTGTGAATACAATAGAAGCTGCGAAATGGCTTCACCAATGGGTTGATCGTCCTAATGTCTACATAAAGATTCCTGCAACAGCTGCATGCATTCCATCAATCAAGGAAGTCATTGCACAAGGAATAAGTGTTAATGTTACAGTAAGTTGATTCTATCGGCAATGGTTCGACAAATGCGTACATATTATGACTATAGAAATTCTTATGGTCAAAGTTTTTTTTTTATCTGTAAATATTGAGAACGAATTTGGACTGTTAGATCGTATATTTTCAAACAGACAGTTCCGAACCAGTTAAGATAGTGAAAATCTAACACGTGCAGGCACATGTATTTTATATCTTGTTGCTGCAATTTAGATTCGAGATACTAATAGTGATCTTATGCTCTCTTTGCAGCTTATATTCTCTCTTGCTAGATATGAATCAGTCATTGATGCTTACCTGGATGGTCTTGAGGCTTCGGGCCTCAGTGATCTCTCGAGAGTCACGAGTGTTGCTTCATTCTTTGTGAGTCGAGTGGATACGCTTGTTGATAAGGTGCTCGAGAAGATTGGGACACCCGAGGCACTTGATCTCCGTGGGAAGGTAATTAAGATGGGACATGTATTTTGATGGTCTGAACCAAAGGCTGATTGTTGGGCTCGTGTATTTTTTCACAGGCTGCAAATGCTCAAGCAGCTCTGGCTTACGACCTCTATCAGAAGAAGTTTTCTGGGCCAAGATGGGAAGCTCTGGTGAAGAAAGGAGCAAAAAAGCAAAGGCTTCTGTGGGCCTCAACCAGTGTCAAGAATCCTGCTTATCCAGACACACTATATGTGGCTCCTCTTATTGGACCTGACACAGTGAGTCAAAATCTTATCTTCTTTTTTTTTTTTTTTTTTTAATCCAATTATTTTTAACCAATCACTTTTTTTTTTAACTCAATATTATTAATATAATTAAATAATACCACTCAATCATTTTTACACATTACGTCAACGTTAATTCATCATTCAGCCATTCACATAATTTTAACTAGCCGTCACTTCACATCATCCCTCTTCTACTTTTACATCAAATCAACTTTAATTATTTTATTTTAAATATTATTTCAATATAAATTCAACATCTCACTAACAACTAACCCTACCACTTTTTTCAAAATTAACCGTATCAATTTAAAAAAATCCAACAAAATCAAAACATCTTATCCAAAGTACTTGGTGACCTCTACGGTCTACCTACCAACCAAAAATAAAAAAAATCTTTTATGTATGCTAGTTAATATAGTTCTTTTTGCCCTTGGTCAATTTGCATGTTATCAATGATTGTGAAAACTGAAAAGGCAAACAAGCCTAATTTGTGGGATAGTAGGTGTAAAAGATTTTTTTTTTTTCAAGATTCACCCTAAGTAAAATAGAAATGAAAAGGAAATGTATAATCTGTTCTGTTTGAGAGAATAATTTTTCCACAAAAAGTTGGCGTTTTAACATCTGATTGTACTTTCTATTCTCTCTACGCCTTAGGTTTCCACTATGCCCGATCAAGCACTCCAAGCATTCATCGATCATGGCTCTGTTGCAAGGACTATCGACTCCAATATCCCAGAAGCCAAAGGCATTTACAGCGCTCTCGAAAAATTGGGTGTCGATTGGAGTGAAGTTGGAGCTCAACTTGAGCTGGAAGGGGTCGAGTCCTTCAAGAAGAGTTTCGATAGCTTGCTCGATAGCTTGCAGGAGAAGGCGAATTCTCTTAAGCTCGTGAGCCTTTGAACGTTATGAAACTTTTTTTGTGTTATTGCTATAAGGATGAATTTTAATAAAGCTGACTGGAGTTACGGTCACTGGATTCCTTCCTCTGTACTGGTTGATGTGTGTTTGTATGATTACATTTTTCTGGATTCTGTTGGCTTATAAAGTCCTTGTTTTGTTGTAGCCTTGCAGGGGAAGAAGATACAATTGCGGTAAATAGTTGAATTGTAAGTGGTGGGTGGTTTGGAGACTAAAAGATATGGACTGATAATAATAAAATCGAATGACCTATCTTTTACTAATTAACAGCTACTATCAACATATTCATAACATTGCAACATTTCCATTTTGGTATAATTGGATTATTTAAGGAAATGTAGGTACTATTAAAAGCATTTCAACATTTCCATTGGGTATAATTGGTTTTTTAAGGAAAAGTAGATAAAATTAGAGTGTATTTGGAAAGAATAGTACCTAGGTTATAATTTTATTTAATTTTCTGTATGTAAATCAGCTTATAGCCTTTTTTTTATTTAAATAATTCAATATTTAATTACCTAATAGTTTTTTTATATTGAAATAAATTTTGATTTGGCATGATGAACTTTTTTAAAAAATAATTGAAATCTTTATTTCAACTAATTATATATCGATATTTTTATTATATTTTACAATTTAGTTATCAATAATCTATACTTATATAATAAGGAGTACCATTTACGAAATTTAGTAAGTTGAAAAGTCAATGCAATAAATGCATTACTATTTTGAGCTATATAATATAATATCATATTTATACTTATATAAAAGGAGATTCTATTTATTACATTTACTATCCAGAAAAGTCAACTGCATTAAATGTCATTACTATTTTGGTATTATAATATTTTATTTATTTAATTGATTTATTTATTTATTTTATTTTAAAAAAGTAAGTATAATAACAGATTTTAATAATAAAAAAATCAAATACCAAATAAAAATGTACACTTTGACTTATTTGATTATATTTGGTATTTGATTATACCAAATATATTCATATTTAGTATATACATTAAATACTTACTAAAGTATTTATTTATTTTATTTGTCAAAGTTAAGTATAGATTTGTTTATATTATCAAATCATAAAAAAAATATTAAATCCATATTTAAAAAAAAAATCATATAATTTTATAACAATTCTACTACACTATTTAACAATATTTCTTTTTTATTATATAATAAAATAATAATTAAATATTATATGGTGAACAACAATAAGTAAAACTGTTACTTTCTCTTATATCAAGGGATAAATTTATATGCTAAAATTAAATTTTTATTAGTATAAATGTTTTAGTGAGATAATATATTAATTATTTTACAAGCTAGCCCTAACATGCTCATATTTAATGTTTTAAAAGATGTAGAAAAAAAACTTATAATAACTCTATTGTTTTTTAGACTTAAACGTTGATTAAAAGAGGTAAAAATTCCTAATTTTTTAGACTTAAACGTTGATTAACACCATAGATTGAGAGTCTATATTTAGTAAAATTCCTAATTGTAATAAAAAAATTAATTTTTGTTATATTTTAGAATATCTTTAAATTCATTATAAAAAAAAAAAGAAAAAAAACTACAATGAGAAAGGCAAGTCAGCTATATATCGATTTGTTGTACTCCTCAAATCACATTCACAATTTGGCTACAAAGAAAGGAAACTCATTGATTAAATATTATTTTGTCAGTAGTCTTAATGTACAAGAGACTTTAAGACTCCACTTGAATATTATAAAACTTTTATTGAACATTGTACAATTTTCTTGCGTATTATAAACTTTTATTAAATATTGCATCTTATAATATAATATTCTCCAAATAAATATATCCCGTGCTTCGCACGGGTGTACTATATATATCTCGTACATTTTTTTTTATTCATGTATATAATTATAAACCTGGATAAATAGCTTAAAATTATGCATCTCGTGCATCGCACGTGCTCTATACTAGTAATAAGTTATCAGCTATGATCGAAATTTACTTACACGCTCCAACTTCAATTTTTCAAATGAAATTTCCCGTTCACAACCACACAAAACACAAAGGAAAAATCGACCAAGTCAGGAAAAAGAAATAAACAAAAAGGAAAACCGAAATACAAAAATTGCAAACGCCACAAAGCAAGCGCTAAAATAGGGAAAAGCTGAGGCCGATATCTTACCGCGAAACATTTCCCACAACGCTCACTGGAAGCTTCTCTTTCAGACCAATGGCCGCAATCTCAGCCGTCGGATCTCTTCCTAAGCATTTTCCGGCCAAATTCCCCACTGCAGGCCCACCGTCTTCGCCATTATTTCTAAACCTGCACATTTCTTGTCGAAGTTCCTTCGAATCATCAAGGTCGTTTGGTGAGTCCCATTTCCTGTCCTTACCTGATTCTCCATCTTTTTTTGTATGTTATTCATGTTAATCTTTCGTTGTATTGTGTGCGAACTTGTGTTCTTTGACCATATTTGAAGAGCCAAAGAGATGCTCGGAGCGTAGGCCGCTTATTGATCGGAGAGAGGTTGTGATGTCTTCGATTGGATTATTGGCAGCGGAAATTTTCGATGCTCAAAGGGATGAAGTTTCCACTGCGTCTGAATACGCCGACAGTAATTTTTTTTTTTTTTTTCCAATTTATAGTAATTTGCTCAGCCGTATTGTTTTTTATCCAGTGTGTACTTTGTGTGTGTGTGCGCTAATTGTGCAAGTTGGCTTGTCCTTAATTTGCTAGAGTTAAGTGTTTTTTGTTAAAGTTTTGATCAAGATCTTGCAGAAACTATATGTTGCCTTTTGCTACAATAATTATGCATTGGGTTTTACTTGATTAAGGAGAAGAGTGAATGGGACAAGAAAAATTTGCTCCTTCCCAATAGCATTAAGGGTTGATACTTTGGTAGGCATCACATCTTATTTCAATGGAAAAAGAGTGGGTTATCGGTTCTTTGAAAAGCATCTTATTATTATGTGCAGCCTTGATAGCTTTGGAGACTAATTGTAGGCTCACTGTTTGAGCATATAGTGCCTGCAATTCGGGGAAAGGATTATGGGAAGTCAAAGATGAAGTACCCTGATTACACTGAAACAATTTCCGGTCTTCAGTATAAGGTCATATTCCTGAAGCATATTTTCATGCATAGTTTTTGCTTCTTTCAGCATTTTAAGCTCAGTTCTAATTTCAAAAATGTCAATCTAGCAGGATTTGCGGATGGGTGATGGCCCCACTCCGAAGATAGGTGAAACTGTAGTGGTAAGTCTTTATCAACATGGTTTGAATAGAGTTCCGTTGAATTAGAACTGAAGGATTTGGACTGCTGTTGAGAAAAAGACAAAATGATAAAGAGATAATTAAGCCAGAAATATTCATAGTACTCGTTGCGACATAAATCATGAACTGGATGAAGTTGCAACATAAATCATGAACCGGATGAAGTGTGAGGTCAACTGACAATTGATGCATGCAAGGTTGACTGGGATGGCTACACTATCGGATATTACGGCAGGATATTTGAAGCTCGTAACAAAACAAAGGGTGGCTCCTTCGAGGTACTTCCATTTTGCGTTTTATATATAAGGGTGTTTCTATGCTTTTCACGTTTTGCTTTGCATATTTTTATCTGTGCTCTGTGTTGTTTTTCCTTATGCAGGGAGATGATAAGGATTTCTACAAATTCAGATTAGGTTCGCAAGAGGTACAATATCACTCAACACAAATTTATCATTGCATGGAAGTCAGATTTTATAGAAGATTTTCCATGATGATGTGCTCATATAAATCATCCAGAACGTCCATCGTTTATCTAAGTCGTTCGAGCATATTTATTTTATTTCCCATGACTTCAAATTTATAATATGCTTATTAGGAAGCATGTGCTGTTAGCCCAGTACACGTTTTTTTAAGAAAATGTTCTAAGCATGAAATTTTATAAAATTAATGACCATCTGCTTGTAATTATTCACGATAAGTATGAAATACATGTGATCTTGGGGCTCGTATAGGTCACATTTTCATCATTCAATGTCCTTCGGATTGGTACCTAGGTTAGTCCAGCATAATTTTTCTTGTTGAAGCTTGCGTAGTTTTCTTTTTTCAGTGCCTTCTTGCCTCATATTAACTCCATCAAATCAAAATTCTGCTGCTCATATCAAACCGAACTGAAAGCATCTTAGCTTCATGCTATAATACACTGTGGATGTTTAAATGGAACTAGTATTCGACCCTGTGCATATATAAATAGAATATTATAAGTTACATTTATGCATATAGTATTAAAATTATAAGTTATACAACGATATTATATTTTAAATATAGAATATTATAAGTTATATTTATACATATAATAATATAATTATAAATTAGATAATGATGTTATATTTTAAAATTTGATCATTGGTTAAAATAAATAGTACATAATTATTTGATTGCATATGAACCACTATGTTAATTACATAAAATATAATAAATAATGTAATTTTGAGAGATCGCCAATTTATTAGCTTAAAAATATTAAATTGATTATAACATTTGATTATGCGATTTTAAAGAATTTTACTATAACATTAAAATAAAGTAACTTATTTAAAAATACAACCGCTAAATAAGTGTAAGATATAATCCATGCTTTCCTTGTTACTGCAGTGCAACTTCCTTGCAGCTGCATAGCATTATCATGGCAGCCACTGTAGGCTGATTTTTCAACTTAAGTAGTTTCTAGGAAAGCCACTAGGGTAGTTGTTTTTAGTTCTTATAAATAGGGATGCAGTTTTCATTTGTAAACACACAAAAAAAAAAGAAAAAAAAAAAAACTGAATACTCAATACATTGAGTTGTTCAAAATCTTCTTCTTCTATCCTAAAAGTGTCAGTTTGTGCCGAGAAGCATTTTTGCTTAACCGAACAGTGCAGCCCAACTACAAACAGAGCAGCCAAGCTGTGAACAAAAGCTGGCAGCAGTGAACTAGGACTGACAACTGGTATCAGAGAGCCATGGCAAGCCAAGATGCTGCGTCGACAGTGCAAGGAAGCGGAGCAGACGCTTCACCGCGCCAAGAGGTCATCATCCACAGGACCGTGCGGGACGTGCCGGTCCTCACACGCACAAACTACGGTGAGTGGGCGGTGTTGATGAAGGTTAAGTTGCGTGCGCGCAAGCTTTGGCGGGCCATCGAAGAAGGCATCGAGGATGAAGAAGAGAACTGTGCAGCGATGGAAGCGATTCTATGCACTGTGCCTCACGAGTACGTGGAGTCGCTGGGCGCAAAGGACTCCCTAGGAACACCCTCAAGGCCATGCCAATCGGGTCTGATCGCGCAAAGAAGGCGAAAGAAGGCGAAGGCCCAGCAGCTGCGGCAGGAGTATGATGCGCTAGCGTTCCGCGACGTCGAGGCAGTGGAGGATTTCTCGCTCCGACTGCAGTCGCTCGTCAGTCAGCTGGCGGCGCACGGCGTCACCATCACCGACGAGGAGGCGGTCGCGAAATACTTGCGCGTCATGCCGCCTAAGTACTCCTAGATCACGCTCTCCATCGAGACGTTGATCCTACATGTCCACCCTCACGATTGAGGATGTGACTGGGCGCTTGCGGGCGGTGGATGACCGCGTGAGACGGCGACGATAACTACCAATGACAAGTTACTGCTGACCGAGGAAGAATGGGCGGCTCGTATGCGCGAGCGGCGGCCAGGGGAAGGCTCCTTCAGCCGTGGCGGCTACGGCAAGTGCCGTGGTAGGGCCCTGCAGAAGAAGAAGAAGAAGGACGGCGACAACGCGCGTCTGATGGACAAGGACACTTGTCGACGAAGAAGAAGGAGGCGCACCTCGCGCAGGTGGATGACGAGGAGCCATCTCTTCTCATGGTGAAGTTTTACACATTGCACGACATCGAGCCAGAGTTGGAGAAAGTCAAGGCGGCGGCTGAGGAGCAGGGAAAGGCACTGGCAGTTCACCTCGACGAGTCGCGTGCCCAAGTCCACCTTGGACGAATGGGCGGTGGCATGGAGCAGAGGTGGTACCTGGATTCCGGCGCCAACAACCACATGACAGGAAGCCTTCTCCGAACTTGATGACGGCGTAACAGGGACGGTGAAGTTCGGCGATGGCTCAAAGGTGGAGATTCGAGGTCGCGGCACCGTCATCTTCCGGTGTCAAAACAGCGAGCACCGCGCATTGACGGATGTGTACTATATCCCGCAGTTGCGTTCAAGCATCGGGCAGCTGGATGAGCATGGCTGTGAGGTGCTTGTCAAAGACGGCGTGCTAAAGCTCAGGGACCGAGACCAGCGGCTGCTGGCCATGGTCCAGCGTTCTCGGAGCCGCCTCTACCTCCTCGACTTGAAGGTAGAGCAGCCGGTGTGTTTGGCGGTACGGTACACCATGGCTATGGCATGCTCGGTTCGGCCATTTGAACTTCGACGCACTCAGTCGGCTGAGGAAGATGGTGCGCGAGCTCCCGCACATCGAGCACGCAGGCGAGCTGTCCGACAGCTGCCTGGCAGGGAAGCAAAGGCGGCTGCCCTTCCCAAAGGCGACCAAGTATCGTGCGGCGAACGTCCTCGAGCTCGTCCACGGCGACCTCTGCGGCCCGATCACGCCGGCTATGCATGGCGGACGGCGCTACTTCCTGCTGCTCGTGGACAACTGTAGCCGTTTCATGTGGCTGCAGCTCCTGACGAGTAAGGATCAGGCGGCAGAGGCAATCAAGCGGTTCCAGGTGCGAGCTGAGGCAGAGTCCGGGAAGCGGCTGCGCGTGCTGAGGACGGATCGCGGTGGCGAGTTCACATCGGTGGAATTCGCCGCATACTGTGCAAACCAGGGGTGGTGCGCCATCACACTGCGCCGTACTCACCACAACAAAACGGCGTAGTAGAGCGGCGGAATCAGACCGTGGTGGCATGGCCCGAAGCATGATGAAGGCAAAGGGCATGCCAGCGGAGTTCTGGGGAGAGGTTGTGAGCAGGGCGGTGTTCATCCTCAACCGTGCGCCCACGAAGGCCCTGAAAGGCATGACACCATTCGAAGCTTGGCATGGTAGGCAACCCGATGTCTCGTTTCTAAGGACGTTTGGGTGCATTGGCCGTGTGAAGAAGACAAAGCCCTTCCTGTCCAAGCTTGAGGATAGGAGAGGATAGGAGCATACCGATGGTGTTCCTAGGCTACGAGGAGGGGAGCAACGCCTATCAGCTCTACGATCCGCGTGAAGGCAAGGTGGTGGTTTCGCTGGATGTGGTGTTCGACGAAATGGCGGCCTGGGATTGGGAGAATCCTGGCACGGGGGAAGCCTGTGGCGTCGGTTGTACGTTCGTCATCGAGCATTTGGTGATCCACGGAGGAGATGCGGGAGTAGAAGAACCAGCTGCGGACGCGCCAAGTCCAGCAGCTGTGACGGCGTCGGATGAGCCGCAAAGTCCGGTCATGGCGGGCACGGGCGAAAAGTCTCCACCAACTGCTGCGCACACGCCCCCACCACAGTCCCCTACTGCAGGACAGGGGACACCTCCAGCGACGACAGTTGAGTTCACCTCTCCTGCAAGCGACATCGACGAGTATGTTGATGCCTTCCACGACGGCGAGGGGGTGAGGTTTCGCAGGATGGACAACCTCGTTGGCAACTCGGCTGTACCAGGCTTGGCGAGCCGATTACTCGACGATCAGGAGTTGCTCCTCGTCAGCGCATAGGAGCCATCGACTTTCGCGCAGGCCGAGCGCGATGTCAGTTGGAGACGAGCTATGCTAGAGGAGATTAAGGCAATCGAGGAAAATGAGACGTGGGAGCTCGTCGATCCACCTCCAGACTGTCATCCAATCGGGCTCAAATGGGTCTACAATGAGACGTGGTTGCACCAGTGGCGCGCATGGAGTCAGTTCGCCTACTGCTGGCCATGGCGGCAGCAAAGGACTGGCGCATTTATCACCTGGATGTGAAATCGGCCTTCCTCAACGGCGAGCTAGCGGAGATTGTTTTCGTCAAGCAAGCCCCGGGCTTCGTCGTCAAGGGAAAGGAGCACAAGGTGCTGCGCCTACGGAAGGCACTCTATGGGCTGCGACAAGCCCCGCGAGCGTGGAATGCCAAGCTCGATGCCACTCTGGGTACGCTTGGGTTCACGCGTTGCGCGACAGAGCACGCGCTCTACACGCGGCGACGGGGAAGAAGGAGCTCGTCGTCGGCGTGTGTGGATGACTTGATCATCACTGGGGCACGAGAAGAGGACATCAATGGCTTCAAGCGCGGGATGGCAGCTCGTTTCCGCATGAGCGATCTCGGGCAGCTCTTCTACTATCTCGGCATCGAGGTGAAGCAGGGGAGAGACTCCATCACTCTTTGCCAGCATGCATATGCGGGGAAGCTGTTGGAGCGGAGCGGCATGGCTGACTGCAAGTCATGCGCGACTCCGATGGAGGAGCGGCTGAAGCTGACGAAAGCCAGCACCGCGGGGAAGGTGGATGCAACACTCTAGCGGAGTATCGTCGGCGGGCTACCTAGTCCACATGAGGCCAAATATCGCATTCGCCGTGGGCTATGTTAGCCGTTTCATGGAGGACTCCCGAGAGGATCATTGGGCTGCGGTAAAGCGGCTGTTGCGCTATGTTAATGGGACGGTGGACCAGGGACTCATCTTCCCCAAGACCGGCGGCGGAAGTGGGCTGCGGCTCATGGTTTTCAGCGATACAGACATGGCAGGCGACATTGATGGGCGGAAGAGCACTTCCGGTGTGCTCGTCTTCCTTGGATCGGCCCCAATCTCCTGCGAGGCGGAGTACGCGGCGGCAGCCACAGCAGCGTGCCAGGCGGTCTGGCTGCATCGGTTGCTGGGCAAGCTGACCGGTGAGGAAGCTCGTCCACCAGTTTTGATGGTGGACAACCAGCCCACCATTGCCCTTGCAAAAAATCCAGTCCTCCATGACCGGAGCAAGCACATCGATACCTGGTTTCACTTCATCCGTGATTGTGTCGATGAAGGACAGATTATTTTGGAGTTTGTCGAATCCGGACGGCAGCTCGCAGGGGCGGATCTAGCTCATTAAATAAGTGGGGGCCTACTTGTTTCTAGAAAACCAATACTACCTACTATTATTTTTAAATGTCATTTTGACTTTATCAACCATTAACCAGATAAATGACATTTTGGATCTTATGTACATATTTTTCCATTAGCTAATAAATACACTACGTCTTCTCATATTCACTCTTCATCTTTTCTCAAAACATTCATCTCTATATTCATTAATGAGGGTTATTATTGGCAAAAAAAATTTTTATTTATTGTGCAACTTCTCAAAACGATACTCATTATGAATAGGAGAGATAATACATCATAACAAAGCATTGCAAAAATACACACTCATAGAAATTTTTATGAATTCTTATCTTTGGTATGAATCTACAATAAGATCTTTACATTTTATTTCGGCCTAAAAATGTATAATTCACCTCAAGTATATTTAGACTAAAAGTAGCTAATTTTGAAATATTTTCACATGCACTTTTCGGTCGAGACTATTTATAAGAACATTTCTCTATAATTTGATATAAAAAAATAAATTATAATGTATAAAATGTTTATCTAATATATCAAACTTTTAAAGAGCCCTCAACTTATCAGTCGCACACAAATTTAAATGTGTTAATAGTCATTTAAGAAACAACATTCAATTAGCTATAAGTTTAAATTTTTAATTTTTATATCAAATCTAATAAAAAAAGACTATTTACTTTCACCAAAATCAACAAGAACAATGATTTCTTTTGCCCATTATCTTTTTCTTTTGGCCATTCACTATCTTTTGCCCATTATTTACCTTCTTTGAGTTTTCATTGTTTTTTTTTTTTATTTTATTAATGAATTATTAAACAATTTTATAAGTAGAATATATAAGATGTATTTTTTTTCTCCAGTGTGGGCCTAGGCCCACACTGGCCCTTATATGGCTACGTCCCTGGCAGCTCGCAGACATCCTTACCAAGCCACTCGGCCGTCTTCGGTTCATAGAGTTGAGGACCAAGATTGGAATGGTTGGAAACAAGCAAGAGCAGCAAGATTAAGGGAAGAATTGTAAGATATATAATCCGTGCACTTTCCTTGTTACTGCAGTGCAACTTCCTTGCAGCTGCATAGCATTTTCATGGCAGCCACTTTAGGCTGATTTTTCAACTTAAGTAGTTTCTAGGAAAGCTAATAGAGTAGTTGTTTTTTATTCTTATAAATAGG